ACAAACAGGTTTTGATAGAAATAATGCTCATTGCACCACTGAACCTCCCCAGACAACATTTTGGGCTGCTGGAAATGCATCAAGTTTATACACCCTCTTCCAAATTCTGTATCCCGTCTAGCCTCCTTCTTGTTGTAAGAAAGCACCGATACTAAATGTCTTAGGGATTACAAAAAATCAAATTTATATGTATACACCGTATACCAAAACCACTTGCAAGCATTTAATGTATTGTCACCTGAATGAATTTCTACAGTTAGCAAAATATATATGCATACACACACACACGTGCACGTGTGTACACACAGAGCCATTGTATTTTGTCACTCTGATCCACTAGGAATTCTAGTGTCATACTCAATGCGAGTCAGCTGAGGTTACTTTTGAGGCTGAATTATCATTATAAAAGCAAAATGTCACACAAAAGCTGTGAATTTCCACATGCTCAATGTCTACAGTATCTTGATCTGACTGATAGGAAATGATGAGGCTGGCTCAGTTTAAACCAGGGCAGCTGGAGGGCTCTTCCTATATATAATCAAGCTATCCCTGACCGTATGAGACATTCCATCAGCTGAGGAATACCGGCTCCTCCTTTGAGAACTCTCCCCCGTCAAGGCCAGAGGACAATAAAGGCATTATAAGCTTAGCTTGCTGATTTATGGAGCGATCTCATTAGACTTGAGCCCAAACTGCTGCTTTCAAAATGAGGGAAATAAAGTTTACTGCAATTACAATGTAAAGATAAGAGAAACTTGAGTAGATGAGCCAAGTGTAAGGAAAGCAGTAATATCAGACTACTTGACTCAGATGATTGCCGGACCACATCAGAAATCTCTTTAGTTAGCACTTCTTTTGGAGAATTCAGCCAACTTCTCCCTTGAAAGAAGTCTTTAAAGCAGCAGCGCGTTACCCTCTTGTTTTGTGTCCAACAAGCACACCACTCGCTGAGTGAACTGTTTCCATATAACCACAGACCAGAGGACATGTTTGGGAGGCTAAGAAAGGATGCTGCTTCTGAGCAGTGAGGTCCAGCACAGAGAAACAAGAGCTATGTGATCCAAAAAAGAAAGAAGAAAAAACGTATTTGCCCAGAGTAACAGATGTTTCTTTATCTTTTTAGGCCAAGCAAAACTACAACAACCTGCTATTAGCAAGACCATTTTCAAGTCAGCTTTTATCTGTCTTGCCTGCACTAGAACTGGAAAGGATCCAGGGAGACAGAGACTGGTGCTTCTCAGCATTTATGTTTTCTCCTTATATCTGAAGGCATTGTGTAGTATAGCAGGGGATCCTTATTTGCTTACATGCCTTTAAAAAGTAGTAAGACACACAAAAGGGATGAAGACATATGTCCCCACATTACCGCTGCATTGCTAAACTCCTGCCATCTACAAATTACTAGGTAACACTATCTTTGTGCTGTTATTATAGTTTTCTAAAATGTACTTAGTGTTTAAAGAAAGAGATGAATGAGAAGGAAGGGAAAAGAGAAAAGGCTGTTAAGGTATTTTAGCACCTCATCCATAACTATGATGGCCTCAGCAGATAGATCCACTAAATCTCATCATTATGAGATTATACCTCAGAGCAAAGCTTATTTCAAGAACACTCATCATCATCACATCCAATTGCTGAAGTGATTCAGCATACACTTAATGTTCTAATCTACTTTTTCCTTTAATTCAAGAGTGCTGGTCAGGGATAACAGGACAAGGAAATCAACAAAAAGTGGTTTATTTGAAAGGAAAAAAAAAAAAAAGAAAGAAAAAAAATCAGAAGTCTCCAGATTATTTTCCTGGCTTGGTTAGTTGATTCACCAAGCCAGTAACAAAAAAATATCCCAGTAGGATTAACTCTGTTACCAATAGGTGAATATGTATAGAACAAAAGTTCAAAGTTGTGTCATTTCAATTGCACCCGCAAATATGTACATACAAGTACGTATGTATATAGAATATAACTATATATATAAATGAAGTCAACTTTTAACCCTTAGCATGACAAAGTTTTATCCCCTAGACATATCAAGAACTTTGTAAGCAAAGACATATAAAGTCCAAATCACAACTCCCCCCTGAACTGTATTTCTTACTACTGTGAAGTAGTCACCCTACCATGAAGTTAGTCACCCTTCATAACAAGGGAAGTAAAAATCATACTGCTCCATCAGCCTAGCAGTCAGCTGCTGTGAAGGAGTCTGAAAATAACGGATATAAAATAGGTACTCAGATATCAGATTCTTAACACCTTGTGGCTGCTTATGAAGAATTACAAGAGCACCTGTATTAGGTATCTTACTAAACAAAATAGAGAATATACTGATGTTACAAATATTGCAGTACAACCATGGATTTAAAGTAGGTAGTTGTTTGGTTTTGGTTTTGTTTTTTTAAATGCATTACCGCATCTATTTTTATTTTTTCTTTAGCTGCTGCCATTGCAAAACCAGGGAACTGCTACACATCTGCAAAAGCTTGTTCCAGGATGTAGCATGTACAATGTTAGTCATCCACAACTTGAGCTTTTAAAGGAAAAAAAATGTAGCTGTTTCAATATACACAAGAATTAAAAAAATATCAGTTAAACAAATATTCCTCCCTTTTCCCCTTACAGACCTTGTATAGCTTTATCAATTGAAATAATTGCAAGCCTTTAATTAATGATGTGCATGAGGCATTTCTGTGGCTCCCAACAAATAAAGCACAGAGGTCTGACAAAATAAATTGCTAATGAGCAATAATCATGGCTTGATCTTTCCCTCATTCAAGTCAAAGACAATTCCCCTGCTTTGATCAGTATAAGCAGGTCCAGTCACTTTTGCTCAGCCTGCTTTAATAAAATGCTCTACATGAAAAATCACAGTTGTACCATGTCATGTGGATTAATCTCACACGAAACTGTCTGATCCTACTCTCACAGTGGCGTTTAACAATTGATTTGAAATTGAAAAGGAAAAAATACACACTTAAGTAGTTGTTAATAGAACCTCTTTCGAAGTGTCTCACCTACTATCAAGCTAGCAGAATGAATTTCCAGATCTGAGTTTCAAAATTAGCCTAACAAATATAATTATGAAAACTTATTGATTTTCTCATCTGTGTAACTAACACTTAAAAATATAATGTACTGCAAAATTTAAAAATCACTTTAATTGAATGATGGAAAAATAACCAGAGGGAGTAGATACAGACTACTAAATAATCAGACTAGCTTCTGTAACACTAACAGCCGCCACATCAGAATGAGCAGAAACGATGTGATTCTAAGTTTGGGCTGAAATTGTCTCCCTGACTAACTGTTCCTTGGTCTAAACACAGCCATGCTGTGATACATATTGCAGTTCAGATAGCAAGAGATGCAACATCACGCACCCACTTTCAGCGCTCCAAAGTACACACTGTACAGACTGCAATGTAGAGGAAAAAAAAAAAAAAAACACTAATGACTTACCATTATCTAAATAATACTTGGCACTCAAAGTGTAACTGTATTGCAGTATTTAACTCAGGATAAGCGTTTAAATTAACTTTTGATAACCTCAGATTTTCAGGCAAACCACAAGTTTTGCTGTCTTTTTCAGTAAATCTGTAAAGCAACACAGAAGTTAACAACAGCCCACGACAGCTTATTTTTTAAAACAAATATGGTCTTCGCAAGTGAGTCATGAAAATAGCCAAGTTTTTCACAAATCAACATCCCAGGTGCCATGTTCTAAACAGGGCTAGGGAATGCTTAGGAGATGCAGAGTGCTGCCTGGCAGATCGGCTGTTTTATCATTTTTAAAGTATCTTTATAGCCTTTCATTGGCACATGGTGGCTACTGGTCTTCCTTTATCTTCCTTGACTACCCTAGGCTATGAGCATTGCCTAGGAAGACAGCACTGAAAACACGTAGGTGTTGGCACGGGTAATCGTGCTTTTGTTCCCTGCAGATGGAGGGAACACCACCTTTGTCAGGCGGCACAGAAGCCTGCACGAGTGAGCAACCCGTTCTGCTTCAGCTGCCTCCTTATGACAGGCGGCCTCTGCCCGTAAGGGAACACTCACGGAAAATAGTCGCTGCTGACCAATCGCTAGTTTGACCCCATGTCTTTAAAATACACATATTTATGTATTTGTATGCTTGTGAAAGGAGTGATTTGACTTCAGCAATCTCAAAGAACGGCGAGTTCAGTTCAGTGATGAACAGCGTCTGGAACGTCTCTTCACCGGGACGCTACATCCTGGCGCCTCTCGGATGCGTGCGTGGCACGGGCCCTTCACGCCGCCACCGCCACACACGCCGGCCAAGCAGAACTCTGCTCGGCCTCACCAGGCTTACACCCTCGGGCCGGCGCTCGCCACCCAACCTCCCCCTCCCACCTGAGCCCAGGTTCAGCAACCGCCGCCCGCCCTCAGCCGCTGGCGGGAGCCGGACCGAGACCCGCGGCCGCGCACAGGGCGGGCAGCGCCGGTTTCGCGAGAGGAGCGACCCTGCGGCGGGGGGCACGGGCAAACTCTCCTGCCGGGACAGCTTCCCGCCCTGGCCCGTCCCCACAGCGCTTCGTGCGGGGCTTCCCTGAGGGGATCGGGCAGGACCCCGCCCCGCCCCGCCGCAGCCCGCGGGCGGGCACCCCCGGCTCGCCCCGCCGCCGGAGGGCCCTGCTCCCCCTCGCCACCGGCGCCGGCCAGGGCACCGCGGGCGGCGCAGGTGGAGGGAGGGCTGCGCCCATTCCCGGGCAGACCTCGCCTCCTAGCGCCCGCGCCGGGCAGCGGGAGGGGAACGCCGGCCGCCTCCCGAGCCCCTCCACCTTCCCGCATCAGGCCCGCTACGTGACCGACCGCGGGGCGGGGAGGAAAAACGCGAGAGCCCGGCAAGGCCGGGAGGGAAGCGGCGGCGGGAGGCGGCCGCCGGGCTGCCAATGCTCCCCGGCCGCCCCTCGGCGAGCGGCCGCCGCAAGCCGTGCGGCCCGCCCAGCCCCGCCGAGCCCGGGGCGGCGCGGGCGGCTCGGCGTTACCTCTCGAAGAGCAGCCGGATCATGAAGATGCAGAAGGCCAGGGGGAAGGCGAGGTAGAGGTCCTCCGCCTGCGGGAAAGCGGCTTCCTCCGTGCTCTGCAGGTCCGCCCAGGTGACGTTGTGCGGCAGCCAGAACCGCTCGTTCCAGAACCAGGCGAGGATCCCTGCCATCTTTGCTTTGTCTGCCGCGGCGCCCCCCGCTCCGCTCCGCCCGCCGGCCGGCCTCCCTCGCCGCGGCGAGGCGTGTGCGAGCGGCTACCGGGGGAGAGGAGGATGGAGGCGTGTGTCAGCCCCGCACCCGCCGATGCTGTTGCCGAGCGGCGCGGCGCGTTGTGCCGGCTCCCCGCCCTGGCCGCCCGGCGGGGGCAGCGGCCGCCCCGCCTGTCGCACGGCCGCGCCCGCCCCCGCCGCCGAGCGCCCGCGCCCCGCCGAGCGCCCGCTCGGCTGCCGCGGGGCCCGCCGCGCCCCTCAGGCGGCCCCGGGGCTGGCCCCGCCGGGCGCCCAGGAGCATCCTTCCCCCGCGCCTCTTCCCCTTCCCGAAACCCCCCACCAAACCCCGAGTCGGAAATTACGCGGCTCGAGCGAGCGGGGACCCTGTCCCGGGGGCGCTCACCGCGGCCGCTCCGCCGGGCTGACCCGCCGTGCCGTATCTCCCAGCGAGCCCGGGAAGGCTGTCGCCTGACTTAAATAGGCAGATGACAGCAACGAAAAGCCCTCCTTTCCGGGGCTCTGCGCAGCCACACGGGCCGGCAGCGGCTGCCTCAGCGCGGGCAGCCCCTGCCAGGAGCGCCGCTCGCTGCCCCCTCCTGCCGAGGCGTTCAGATGGGAGCGGGACTGTCCCGGGTGAAAGGACCCTCTGAAGCGTTTCGTGGCTTAACCCTGTGTGCATGTACAGCAAGGAGGCGTAAACGAGGCACGGAAAAGTGTCTGAGAGCACACCACTCATAAGCAACAAAACCGAGGTTAGGACTTTCGCTTTGCACTCCCAGCTAAAGAAAACCTTTTTGTCTTTACAGAGGTTTTTACATTCGGTTCCTTATCTCACAGCCCAGTCCCTCTGAAGGCAAGCTGCAAGAAGAAAACTGTAACTGTTTCCACTATACTTTACAGCAAAGGTGGCTAGCAGGCTTTAGTGTAGCTGTAGCTGCAGGACTATACACACGGTGGGCTAGGCACTCACAAAATTACTTCAAGTAGCAGGTGTACAGCTCCTGTAACACCACTGTTTTGTCTGCCCTGCCTCACTTTATCTTAGATGGCTTCAGTGTTCTTCCCTGTATCATCACACTCTCCAGCTGACTAATGGATACTAATTGACTTCTGCACATGGCATATTCCAGAGTTTTATCATCAGTTTCAGGTTTTCTGCTAGCTTGCTTTTTGCCCTCCACTGACTCTACTTGCCCTTCCTGAAAAACTAATTGCACAGCTCCTCGTGTCAGTGCTGACTTTTCTGTGCTGAAGAAAATTCTAAGTTAAACACATGACCTTGATGCTCTGAAAAGCGTTGTACCAATTTAAACAAAACAAACCACTTCTGTATATGGAGAGAATTTCCATCTAGGGCATTTCAGGGAAGTTTCAGGGAATGCTTTGGCAGGATGGCTGAGGAGCCATGCAGGTGAACCTGGATGTTTCTGTTTTATTGCTGAGCCAACATCCTAAGTGTCTGTAAATATTCTAGTTCAGTCCTTGTGGTTGCTTCTTGGGGAGGGAGAAAAGAGCTGGTGGCTAGAGGCTACTCCATGGACACCTAGTCCTTCAGATCACCTGGAAAAACATGTGGGCTCTAGCACCGCTGCCAGATCTGCCTGCTCCCATCTCTTCCTTCACCGCGGTTAGCACAGTGCTTACAGCCTGCGCCCACCTGGGCCCTCAGCTCCCCACTGGTTCCAGCCCTGTGCACAATCGTCTCAGGATCCTACTGTGAGTCTTTGACATGAGCTGTCTGTCAAAACCCAGGGTTTTTCTGTGATTTCAATTCAGAGGGAAAACTAACCATGGGAGTTGCATGCCTCTAATGCAACCTTCTTCACTTACAAATAATGATTTTCTGAGCAGAATGAAACGTTTATTTGCTCAAATCAGCAAGACTTATTTTAGCCAGTGCTGAAAACATAACTGTCTAATATCTCCCCGTTCCTGCTTCTAACCTCTGTCTTGTTCTCACAGCTGGATTTCACCCCTCTTTCAACTGACCTAGAACACCCCCCCCCCAGAACATCCCCTGGGACCTCATCTTCCAGCACTGTCTCACAAACACCTGAGCTGACTCCTGCACATATACATATGCCTCTCTTCACTTACAATTCCTAAATCACCCAGATCACCCCATTTTCTGAATGGACTTGCATATGCCAGTCTTAAATGGAAATATGAGTGCGTGTCCTCAGAATGACCTCAGAAGCATAAACTTTGAAATCTGTTGATGAAAGGCTCTTTAGATATCATTTCAGTAGCTGACAGCACACAGATAACCATTTGCTTCATTAATGATAATTGTGTTTAAGGCAAAGTTAATTTTAATCAGGAAATTGGTATCATTATTCTGCACCTGAAGGTGACCTGTCTTTTTGCAGCATATTTCAATATCCCAATCAGTTTAGAAGATTATTCAGTATTTATGTCTGTTTCTAATAAATGAAGTAGTTCTTTCCCAGCCAGTCCTGAGGACTGCAGGCCCTGGTGCTCAGCATTGCTTATGTACAGATACAGGAAAGGAACAGATCTTTGTAAAATGAACCTAGCAACAGTAATAATCTGATAATGCATAAGAGATTAATTCTTTCTGAACAATTAGTATAACTGACTTTTGTGTCAGGCTAAAATTAAGTTAGGACAACAGATCTCTAAGCATATCTGAAAATGAATGACATTTCTGAAACATTTGAGAGGATGACCAATTAATAGCTTTTAATTGAATTCAAACTGTAGCAGCAATTACATAGACAGAGCCAAGACAAGACTATGGAATAAGGATACCTGAATCTTGTGCTTTGGAGGGAGATATTACCAGGATTTGTAAAGCAGCTAAACTAAAGGAACTGCTATATCACAAAAGGGAGCCCAACAGAACTTTAAAAACTGTAGTTTCATATGTGGTCTCATATCCTGAAGCAGTTTATTCCAAGATAGTGCTAGAAATTGGCCAAAAAGAAAGGTAAAGGGCTGGAAGTGAGTCTGTTTTCTCAAAAGCCCAGCCTGGGCATTCTGTGTAATATACAAGAGTTAGTAATAACTAAACAAACACATATACACAAATTCCCCAAAAGTTACTGAACCTCTATTTCTACTCCAAAAAGAAAAAGAAAAAACTGACAGACCACACATCGCTATTTCAAGACTGAGCAACCAACAGAGTGGCCACTCTAAAATGAAGGACTTCATCATTTATGTCTTATCTGTTTGTTTAGCATCAAGAAGCCAGGTTAGATCTCAGGTGCAAAAGAAAAGGTTCCTTAGCTTTAGGAATAAAATTACTGTTAGTCTAATTAAATTGTTCATCTTGTAGGCTTAGAACAAATGTATTAAATGCATTTTCACACAGCAGAATACTTCCTTTGCCCATGAGTTTCACTTTTCCTTATGGCCATGAACTTCCAGTAGCCTCTTCCCATCAGGTTAGGAGATTGCTAGTACTTACTTACTCACAGATCAGAATAAACCATGTGATGCTTTCCAAAGTAGATATGTTTTAATACAGGAAAATTCAGAGTTTTCTGGAAAATACAGATTTGTTTTCTATCATTATTAATCTGCTTAAAATAGGCAGTGGTTTATGCTGTTTTAGGCTTCCACACAGATATAAACACGCACACACAAAGCAAAGATTAAAAATAAAAATTAGCAGTAATTAGACATTAAGATAAGAGAGTTGCTTTAAGTAATGGGAAACATAAGATACCAGTTGATCAGGACAGTGTTCTACCGCGTACTGCAAAAATTGCATAGAAAAGCAGCATGCTGTTTAAACTCAGCTGTTTAACACAGAAATGCTATTAGAAGTTTTCAAGCACTACATTCATGCTGCAAATACGGCTAAGTTACAAGCTCATAACAAAACCCTGCAGGCTTCTTTGAAGGATATCGACAGTGATCTTTCCTACTGGGGCATGTCTCAAAAGCACCTCTACTAGATTACAGTGGATTATAGCCCACTATTTTTATTTACCTGTCATGGTTTATTTATCCATCTGTAGACAACAGGAGTGTGTATCGCATCTCTAAACTGCTTTGAGTTTGGTAATGTGTATTTGTTAGCACCAGTGTGTCTGTGCCATACTGCTGGCCACCTGGAGGAGTTCCTCCACTAAATCAGGCAAAGCTGCAGCAAAACCTCTTGATTTTATAGGACTTCTGAATAATTGGAAGCAAGCAGCCAAATTTTTTATCTCATTTAGTCTGCTGTAATTCTGGAGTAGTGCCAGGCTTACACAGAGAGAACTGCGATCATACTCTGGGCCAGTCCATTTAATGGACCGGATAGTACAGGTGCCAATAACGCGATCCAGTGAGACTTTTTGTTCTCCAAATCTGAACAGGGTTGTTCCTGAGCAGAAGAGATGGCAATGGCTTACGCATGTAAAAGCAGCAGTGCCAGTCCCATTTCCATAGGCCGGTATCATTAGGCCACTAGTGATGTGCCTAGCAGAAGGGCCAAGAACTGCCCGAGTGTTGTGTGACTGCTCTGCGCCCTCCTGGGGAGGGTGGAGGACCACCGGCATGGGGGAACCATCAGTGTGAGGCATGGCCCTGAGCTGTCATTCTTCTAACATGTCTTCTACCTGCTGGTCCCAGCAGCTGTGGGGACTTCCAGTTTCTCATGTGGCTAGTTTTTCCAGATTCTCTAATAATTTCACCTAAGAAGTAAAATCACAGTAACAGAGTAGCAGTCTTCATTACAAAAGCTGTGTAGGGTCAGTGAAATCAGTCCTGACTCCTGCAAGGGGTTGTACTAGTCTGAAGATACAAGTCTGGCTTCACCCGATTACCAAACAATGTACCCTGAATTCAAATCCCTAGCAGAGCTCTGTGTAATAGTGCTTAGAATAAATACATCGATACAGTAGGTGTCCCCAGGCTATATCACTTCAGTCTTCCAAATTTTTTGTCTTGGCAGACAAGCAAGTTTTGTCACTTGGGAAGACATGCAATGGTAATTAGTTTGGCTGTCATGAAGAGATGAGTGGACAAGTAGTTCTAGCTGAAAGAGAGGTTTACAAGCCTCGGGAGGGTTTGTGCTTTGTGCTGGGCTCCATTTAAAGTCAAGACCCGAAGCAGAACTGCTTCATGAGGACTGGTCAAAAGGAGAGGAGGAAGCAGGGATTACCTGAGTCACTGTATGTCTCCATGCTTCATTTGTTTCC